CGCATGTACGCACCAAGCGCCTCCTGTGTTTTCGCGTCATGTGGCGGTTCTGTTGCTTTGAGCAGTTCCTACAGTGATGATGATGATGATGGTCATGATGATTTGGTCGTGGTTGACAAGGAGGAGGAGGTACAACAAGCAGTCGCCACAACTTACCCCACCAACTACCAATCAACATATCAAGCCACGCCAATCATCAACTACGCATCACAGCAATCGCCACCTTGAGAAGGAGCGGGTATTTGCAGATGCGCTGAATGACAGATAGCAGATATGACTCCAGGTTCAACTTGGACTTGCTCAGCAGTTGGCATGACTGTATGCACACACATGCACGCAGGTACACATACACGTACACACGCACACATGCACACATGTATCGAGGTGAGCTGTGTGACCGAGATGGCCACGGTTGGGGACTGGCGAGCAGACTTCAGAACGCAACACTGTTTCCAAACCAATCGCTCTCAACGCTCACAGTCACACACACACACACACACACACACACACACACACACACACACACACACACACACACACACACACACACACACACACACACACACACAATACATGGGACATGCTTTCACCTTGATGTGGGCGCATGCAGTTGGTGTCGAGACAAGCTCATACAGCAGCGCCACGCTCCCCTCCTGTTGGGCGAAACGAGGTCCGGTGAGGAACGCATTGGACAGCCGTAGCAAGGGTGCGGACAAGGAAAGCGCATGCCACACACACACACACACACACACACACACACACACACACACACGCACGCACGCACGCACGCACACACATACATACACACACGCACGCATACACATGCGCACAAACAGACGTACGTGGTGGTTGCAGAACTTGGTGTAGATGAGGAACCCGTCACGCTGAAGGGGAAGTGACGGAGGAGGGTTGTGAGGAAAGGAAGCAGAAGTCGGGATCACAACATCAAGGACAAATACCTGATGCAAGCCACTCTCACACATCAAAACAGTCTCACTCCTCCTCTCTGCGTAGCCATCAGTACGCACGTTGTCCAGCAAGACTTGCTCCAGGGCACCGGTGACTTCGGCAGCGTTGGAGTCTTCAAATGCCTTCAGCAGACGTGTGTGGAATGCCAAGATCTCCTCCACGTTCCTGCATACAAAGGCATGTCATCACAAGAAGGTCATGTCGTGCTCTCGTCACCACAAGTGCGCATGTGAACATGAACATGGCATTTGTCATGCACGAGCATTGAGTGCAAACACAAAACAGCTCACAGGAAGATGCGGTCCATCACATCCGGGGGAAACTCGGGCTCATCCTTGAGCTTGTCAATGTAGCACTGCCAGCACAGGACGAAGCATTCGTGTGAGGAGGCGTGGTTGTTCACGGCCACACTCAAGACAGAACCCAACGCGATTGCCACACTAACCAGCTCACACACCTGCGCACACGCACACACACACACACACACCTTCTTCACGAGGGAGAGACCCGTGACATAGTCGCGTTCCGTGTTCACCAGCTCTTGCAACACAAGCTCACGCTTGGGCGGGCCCATGGTGGTGGTGGCTGGTTGTTCGTGGCGCTGTGCTGGCTGAGTTCAGGCACGAAAATCAACTGGAATCATGCCCGATCTTCCCAACTACGGGTGGCTGTTGTTGTGACTTCTCGTGGGCTTGTGTGGGCTTGGAGGCAGTAAGCTTCTTGTGGGGTTGCCGCATTCTCCTATTCTCAGCAAAGCCTTCAGCCGCTGCAACCAAGCAACCGTGCAAGCGCTGCTGTGCTGCCGAACCATGTTTTATCTGTTATCACACGCCGCTTTGTGGCTTTGCTCCTTTGTCTTGGTTGGGCTTTCACTCACTGATAAATAGACAGAGCAGCACTCAGCCGCGCACAAGCACAAGCATGCAAGCATATAGGCATCATGCACCACGCACACAATGTACAAACATACTGGCAGACACATACACGACAAAGCACACCGCACAGCTCACGAACAACAATACAGTGCCTCACATGAAGCTGTAAAGCGTGAACTCACAACACACACTCTCTCCGTCCTTTCAAAACCCTCATCAACATCATCCCTCACTGGTGTCGTTGAGCTGGGAGTTGGATGAGGGCATCATCAACAGTGATCGCAAATCCGAAAAGTTGAAGGCGCTTATACCGTTTGGTGAAACGCCAACCACATCTTGTTGTTGTTGTTGTTGTTGTTGTTGTTGTTGTTGTTGTTGTTGTTGTTGTTGTTGTTCTTGTTGTTGTTGTTGTTCTTGTTGTTGTTGTTGTTCTTGTTGTTGATGGTGGTGCACTGGAAGAACTCCACTCGGGTTGACGGAAGCGTATTGCGCACCTATAACCTGAGGTGTGTCCGCTGTGGCGTGCTGTGCGCAGTCCACACCCTCATGGTCATCGTTGCCACCGCCACCAGCAGCAAGTGCAGTTCCCAGCTGAGTCAGCCAGCCCGCAGGTAGCACGGGCACTGCAGGGCTTATCACTTGTTGCTGTTGCTGTT